CCTGCTGATCTTCGTTACTGGCACTTGGAGTTCGACTCCTAATCTGACTTCGTAGCTGCTCTATTAGCTCAGGATTCTGCTGCTGCATCTGCTGAGCAAACTGCTGGCCCCTGAAGGAGAACAAGCAAGAAGGAAAAGTCATATTAATATTCATACACACACACAGTATGGATGCTAAGGAATTCTTTATGATCGATTATCAAAATTCTGTTTTAGCAAATAGTTCAGCCACATTACTGAAAATGGCAGGATTTTACCCAACCTTTAAGCCTTCCTCAGTTGTTTAAGTTAAGTTTTGGTCAGGAAACCTGAAATCCGTTACTGGTCAAGGCAACAGGAAAGACCCAGCTCCCTACTCACGCTTGTATGAGGCTGGCGAGATCATTTGTGGAAGGGCTGGTGCCTGCTGCTCCCATGGGGTTATGGCCACCAGAAATCATCCCAGACATGCTGCAGGAATAAGCCATTGCTCAGAGCAGAAAAAACACAGAGACTTTTGTTTGTTTTATGTAGGGAGGGGAGCATCAGCATAATGGGAGCCCCTTCCCACACAGATTGTGAAGTTATCTTTAAGGGAATTTTCTGCAACAACCACCTCTTGTTCATGAATGGCAGCAGAGTCTAATTGCATCATTAAACCGAACAATATGTAAAAATATTTGTAACAGTGTCAGTTATTGTATTCCTAGAGATTCTTCCTTTTGTACATGAGTCCTACTTTACATTTATTTAATTAAAAAACAGCCCTTCCTTTCACAAGATGTTTGCTTGCTCTGTATCAAATGAGATCTATTGACAGGGCAGCCTAAACACTGATTCACTCGTGATGAACAGCACAGAACATGCTGGGGCCTGCATAGCCATTTCCTCTAGAAGTTCTCAGGCTGTATCCAAAGCAGAACCTCAAACGGTAACAGTGATGGAAGGAGCAGGCAGAAGCAAATGGAAATGATGGCAGACATTTAGCCCTTTAACCAAGCTGTCACAAAACACAAATCAAACTATGAGCTCCAGAAAGTCTCTAATTCACTGTATTCTAAGCCTACCTGTGCTCTGAAAGGATTGTCAGGAGAGGCACGTGCCTGATAGAATTTCACATCTCCATCTCATTTAGAATGGGGATACATCCATTCTTTGTACAGGACTATGAGGATCTACTCACAATGTTTGTAAGATGCTTAGACAACATTAAGCCCTAAAATCTACCTTCAGATCATAAATATTGCATAGCAGAGCCAGAACCTGACCCCCAGCTTCCCAAACCCAATTCAAACACCTCGGCCGTGATCCGTCCTGTCTCCCTTTTGCAAACACTTACAAGATTTCTCTTCGGCACAGTCTGGAGCACTCAAAATACACACTAGCTCAAGAGAATGGACTGCTTTAAATGCTGCCCTCCACAGTTCTGGTCCCAGCACCCTCCCCTCTCCAGCCAATACAGAGATTCAGCCCTACCACAAAAGTCAACCAAACACAGAGGAAATATGAGATGGGATCAAACTTACAGCTGTTGTACTTGTGGATTGTTCATTAGGTTAGATGCCTATTTAAAAAGGGAAAAAAATGACACCCTATTTAGTCAGAAATGCCTGGGTAGATATGCAGATGTTGTGCCATTCAACCACAAACAAAGTGAAGACAGAAATACTTGGAAGCAGATCAGTAGGACAAAAATAGCTAAGAGAAGCACAGTAGAACACACAAGACAAGGCTGGTAATGCAGAACAGGCACCCTTTCCATGTCTAGCACATTACTAGGAAAAGCCTGTGAATAAGTCACCGGCCCTTTATTTGACTTTAATGAGATACAAGCACAGTTTCCTCACAGCAACACTGAAATCAAGAAATGAAATGAAAACAAATCAGCTAAGGAAATACAGGAACTCCCCAAGCCACATATCAATACATTTCATCCTGAATAGACAAATGCACAGCCCAGATACAGCCTGGCTGTGGTCTGTGTCCCAATTTACCATACTCATGAAGCCGGGGTTGTTCAGCAAACCAGCTAAATCAAATCCTCCTGGACCTCCGGTCTGTAAGAATAAAGACACCACACACAGCTGATGAAATCCTCTCACTCCCTGATGCAACAAATAGCACATTACAATTAATGTTAGTTTAATCCTTTACTTCAAGTGTTATCAGCATCTGGTCTTTAAATCATGACAAAGGTAAGAGGGTCTGTTCACACCCTTGCTGTAATGGCCTGAAGCGTAGCCCGCATCTTCATAGGCAAAAAGGCTCACTGAGGAATTCAAAGGGCTCACACCAATGATGGCAATGACTGCATTGCATGATTTACTGAGCAGCTCTCTCACCAGCTGAGCCGTGTTAGCAACTCTAGCCCATCACAAACACCAAGTTAAAAAACATTCACTTGGCCTCCTTTGCACTGGAAAAATCTTTAGAAAATTGAAGTCACCTTCAAAATGGTGAACTAGCATGTTCCTGAGTGGAACATGTCAGCAGTACGCACAGTCACTGGCTTTGTGGCTAGAAAACCTCCAGGATTCTTTTCTTAGAAGAAAATGACTTTTAAAAAACCTTAAATGCCCTTTCGATATTGCTAACAGGTCACTAGTAAAAATAGCTGAATTTTAGGAGTAGTGACTTTAAGACAGGTGTGTAAGGCAACAAAACACTGTTTCAAAACACTCCTCCTAATCAGTATCATTTTCCAGCTCTTTCAAATGAGCCCAAGGTGACTGTGCCCAAGCAGAGCAGACACATTACTCTCTCTGGATTTTAGTGGAAATGTTCATAGCAGGACTCATTAACTACCTCTCCCCTCTCTGCATGCTAGATTTGTATTCTAAACATAATCCAAGTCAGCAAGTCTCTGTCCGACGGTGCCAGTTAACACAGGAGCACAATGAAGAAATCTCCTTCTGATCTTACCCGCATACAATAAGCACTGTTTTCAGAACTTACTGGACTAGGGGTCTCTTTCATTTTCTGTTCAGCTATTTTGAGGTTTGATTTGTAGGTTTCATTGTCTGGATCCAGCTCCAGGGCTTTTTTATAGTAGACAACAGCTTCTGTGTGTTTATTTAAACTGGAGAGGGCTAAGCTATTAAAGGGGAAATAAAATAAAAAGTTAGGAGTTAGATAAGCACTTGCAGTCTTCCTCCACCCCATCAGAGTTGAAATACTAGGTATTTTTGCATGGCATTCCAGGACAGAACACCGTTAACAGCGTCACTGCCACAGGGCGTTTTGAGATTAAAATCCTGGCAAGAAAAATTGCTCTCTTACTTACCCCATTCTGCCATAAGCTTTGCTGTAGTTTGGATCAATGCCTATAGCTCTTTCACAGTCTCTGACTGCCCCAGCGTAATTTCCTAATTTACTGTATGCAGCAGCTCTGGAGAGAACGGAGAAAGATGTTCATAAAACACTTATTGGCTTGAATATACTAACCAAGGTCACCTCTGTTTCCTTTCTGTAGTCTCCTATTGTTCAAGGCAAAGTCAAGTGTTAACTTGACATAAATCCAGGTATTATTTAGGTGAGCAGGTTGCTATGCAAATACCCAGCTCTATGTTCTGTGTCAAGGGTATCGTGCATCAAGTATTTTACTTCTTCACATGGACTTTCCAAGAGCGGCCTGGGCTCCAGGGAGACACAGAAGTATTACACCTGCTAGTTCAGATGGCTCTCTCTCCCCAATTCCTTTGGTTTCTTATCCACAAGGACTGTTCTGTCCATTCCTCCACACACCCCACATACAGGGGAAAAATGTGTATTTGAAACCAAAACATGCCCATTCAAGCCTGTCTCGCATCTCTTACTGACATCATGACACCTGCCCAACACCTCATAAGACTAAACCTCCTACAGCTCAAGCAAAGCTTAGCTGCAGCGTCAGCTGGAAGCTTTGTTCACAATCCCTCACCCCACGAAATAACTCACCATGCCATTAGCATGTGTGGAGACAAGTTATTCATGTACCCAGCTGTATATACGCACTCATGATAAGTAGATAATTAAGACAAAGCTTGATTCAAATTCTGTTTAGTCAACAATCATCTTTCCACCAACTTTCATGCCCTTTTGCTTACAATGTCATGGAAAATTAGATAATATGCTTGCATTTTGCATACACATCAACATATATAATTCTCAATAAAAAGCCTTCAGTCTGTCTCATTTTACCCCTTTGTTTTCAGTATCAACACAGTCTCTTCAAATCTGGGCTCTTTATCCCACTTACAGTTGCTTGTATGAAAGTAGACAGCATTACTTGGCATCCTTGCATCTCCTCAAATGCCTAATACAGTTTGCTTCCACATCCACACCCTATCTAGAGGAGCCAGGGCACAGAGCAGGCAGGAGGCACAGGAAAGCACGTCACTGTGAGCTTGGCAGGGGGGAAGCGAGAGGGAGACAGCAAGCAACAGAACAGTCTAAGGAATTTTTCCTTAAGGGAATTTAACCATGCAGGAGCCTTAGATGCAAGAAATAAGAAACAAAAGCATGAGCATATAAGGGTGGAGAAAGATACAATAAGTACCTGTTGCAAAAATACACTGCATTGGATGGATTTAATTCAATTGCTCTTCCATAGAAAGACACAGCAGCTTCAAAGTTTTCTGCCTTCATTTGTTCATTTCCTAAAGAATTGGAATAAAGTATTAAAGTATTAATAACAAGTTAAAATGAGGACAAACGAAAGCAATGGGCCTGGATCTTTGCCGTACTTCAGAAAATAGAACAAAAGACAAACCAACAGCTCCTACTTTCTGCTAGTCCATCAAAATGTGTGCAGCTGTGAGGCACATTCAGCAGCAATGGGGGGGGGTTCCTGCATCTTGGCAACTCCATGTCACCTGCCACCGTGTTAGAAGGGATCCTGCAAGCTCTCCCAGCATCCTCAGCTGCTCTCCCATCGAGGGTGCACCTAAGACCTCCCCAAAGCAACATTTTGATCTGCAAGTCTGCAGCGCGTTGGCTCAAAAAAGCTCTCTCTATTGTACTTCCATGTTAATCGTGCTCTCTTGCATGCAGAGAGAAGGCAATGCACGCAGAGGAGAGCTGAACAGAAAATACTCTGTATTCTATAATGGTGTCTTTTTAGGATGCAAAAGGAAATGCTGACCCTGCTGTCTCTCTAGGCTTAGCGGCAGCTACATTATGCCAACCTACACACACTCCTTGAGCACAAGCAGAGAAACAAGCAGAAACGGATAGGTTGATCCCATGTGGTTTATTCTTATTCCATGCATTCCCCAGGTGCTGAGTGAATAAAGTCTTCCTCCCCATAATCATGTAAACCTCATCTATACATCAGCTCTAGAGGAGGTTACCTTCAGTCTTGAGTCTTTCAGCTTCAGCTATGTCATCTTCTGAGGGGGTGACAGGCTCCGAATTTGCTCTGATGTGTTCAGGCTCCTTACAAGGAAAGGGAGAATGCTGTGCTCTCATAAGGACTCCCAGAGAAATAGCGCACCTCTTCCCTTCCCAAGCACTGGCTTGTCAAGTCCAAAACAGTTCACTCCTACAGCCCCCCCGAGGGGGGCAGCATCACCACAAAAATCAAGCAGAGCTGATCGTTTTGGCTATTTGACTTGAAAGTCAACACATATTCAGGGAACTCACTCACCTTTCCTGCAGCAGCTTCAAATATCTCAGGAAGAGTCTGAGACACAGCTAGATCTTGGTCTTCCATGGAGACCCCAAAAGCTGTCTCCAGGCACTGGATTGCCACTGGACAAGAAGAGTCAAGTAATTAGCTTTCCCTGTTCTGTCTAAATACTTAGTCCTCTTCCACTCTGCAGCACCTCAATTTCTTATAGTTCCTACCGTTCCTAGTTCTTACAGAACCTACCAGCAAAAAACCCAACCAACCAACACATTCCCACACAGCAGACTTGATATTTGTGGCATATTCTCAAATCTTCCTCTGCAGCCCTCTGCGAGTGTCTGGGACTGCAGGTTGCCTCTGGCTGTACGCGAGCACAGGTAAACGAGGGTATGTTTTTATAGGGACGTCAGCTTGTTTTAGTATAGCTCTCCAAGCATCTGTCCCAAGAGCAGAGAGGGAAGTTGCAGCAGGGCTAAAAACTGAGTGCAGATCTACTGCATCTGAGCTGTAACACGTCTTTTCCTTACATTAAGTTCAGCACCAGAAAGCAACTGAAGTCTCCCACTGTGGTCTTCACATACTGACCGGAGAGGTTCAGTGACTTCACAGCCCCTCTGGTTCCCACTGCGGAGAGGTGCTTGAATGATTGTTATCCAGCTGAAGCAGCATGCCACAATACATGTCATGAGTTGCCAAAAACTCAATAGAGCGGTGCAAACATTGGCTCTGGAGGGCAACCTCCTAGAACAGGTCGGTCACAACTCCCGTCCCCGTAGGTGACTCAGGGCAGGTGTTGGTGGGTAGAAGTTAACAGAACTGGCAGCAAGCAAGAAAGGAGCTTTCATAGCATTCCTGCAGCTGCAGATAGCACAGAGCAAGGAGAGATCTGCATCTTTAACAAAACACTGGAAGCAAGTGACTTGTCAGCAGGTCCTGTAGTCACTTGCCACAAGGTGGCTGCTCTGTTAAAAGGGCTGCGGCCAGGCAGAGGTGCAAGGACACCCAAACAAGGCTCTGGCCGCAGCCACCACCCCCTCTGCCAGCACCTGGTTAGAAAGGCGCTCCCAGCATGGGAACCCCAGCAACGTAACAGAGCCCCGTTTTACAAATCTCGTGCCACGTTTTACAGTCCACAAGCACCAGAAATAAACTCCTCCTTCCCACCCAACACCCTCCTTGCTCCCGCTCTCCATTCCTGCCTCGCCCAGGAATGTACCTACCCCTTTCCACAGACGTGCCTGTGCTCTGTCAGTGGGACAAATGTACAGGCCAAAGACTGTATAAAGTATAAGCTCCTTAAGTAGATCTTTTAAGATCAACGTGCTTTCATTTCTAGTAAAGCTCTCTGAAAAGGCCTGTATAAATACTCCAGAGTGTGCTGGAAAAACATTTTGATAGCAGAACAGGAAAAGCACTCTGCAAGTGTAAAACATTTTCATGTGCTGTGAGCCTCCTGACCTCACCTCATTCAAGATAAAACTTGGTAAGTCTCAGTCCCAGGATCAGGGAGGCTTTTGATCCTGAGGTATATCCCTTCCTCAAGCTAATCTATTCTTGAAAGAGATAACAAGAAATCAGATAAACAATGAGCCTCCTGACTCCCTGGATGTCTTCCAATGGGATAAGATTAATTTCAAATCTTGAACAATCTTTGATGTTAGTAACAGTCCAACTAAGGAACAAGTAGATGATAGTAACCAAGAGTCCACATTTCCACAAGTGTTGGACTGACAGACCTAGAAGCACATGCAGAGGAGTGTATATAGCCACCTACCTTCCAAACTCTCCTGAGCATCTGGAGAAAGACCCCCATTCTGTAGCTGGTCATGTAAAAACTGGATGATGGAGTAGGCAAGGCGCTTCTGGTCTGCCATTCTAGGAGGCTGTGATCAGTCTGCTCTGACTTCTTGTAACTTAAAAAGTCTGCAGAGAAACATGGTCAGGAAGTCAAAGTTTCTCTTTCCCAGGATGAAGGGAAAAGGTAAGCGAATGCTTGGGAACTGGCTAAGGCCTCTGGAGCCTTCATTAAACTCTTTAACAAAGACTCCTTCGCATTAACTGCCTCCGGGCCTCAGTTCACCCTCTTCAAAGGGAGCAGTACAGCACTACCCTGCCCACGAGGCTACTGCCCAGGAAAGAACATTACAGGTGTTACAAGAACATAGGCTAGACTTTGTCACAAGTCTAGACAAAGTGAGCACTGAGGAGCTCATCACTAATAAAACCCCAGCCTTCCTCTTCCAAAGCATGATCTGGTTCTGAAGCAAAGACAACAGCTGAAGCAACTTGCCAATGTTAGCAGAGCCAGGGTTCAGGGCTATCAATCCTCTGCCCAGTTTGCTGCCTACCCTGCTCAGAAGATCAAGTTCCCCTACAACTCAGTGAAGTAGGCCACAACAGAAAACGAGGACACGTAGCAAGGCAAGCCCCACAAGCATACCCTGAGGTAGGGGTTTTGCAGAGATCCACGTGCATGTTCTGAAAAGAACAGGTAGGTGCGTTTGCCTGGCATTGCTGCTGAGCTAAGCTGCTCTGCCTTTCCAGAACACTTAGCTAGGTTTATAGCACAGAAAAGCCATTAGGGTCATTTAGCTGACAAACTGAATTGTTTAAATGTGAAAAGCAAACCCAGGAGAACTGCCCCGGCCCCAAACCAATGAAAAGCCCCAGCGGTAGTAGCAGGTCCCTCTGGGGAACGGCAGCACCAAGCTCCCAGCCCCGCCGCCAAGCGAGGCCAGGGGCCACAAACCCGAACAGGCACCGGGGGGGCTGCCAGCAGCAGGCCGGGGAGA